CCTTCCTTCCTTCCTTCCTTCCTTCCTTCCTTCCTTCCTTCCTTCCTTCCTTCCTTCCTTCCTTCCTTGTGTTTTATTTGTGACTGTTTTTGAGAAAGATTCAAAAATTGGACAGTTTTAAGTGTGTCATGTTAGTGTTTCATCACCTGTAATAGCTGCCAATCTATTAACAGTTTGAAGTATTCCCTTCTTTCAGTTATATCTTTCCAGGATCTCCTCCTAAGCAAAAGACATGAGTAGCTGTCAAGAAAACTCCCTAAGTGGAGACACATTAGCAATCAAATGGTCTCCCCAAGAAAAAAGCTTATCTGACACACAGCTTATTGTCCTTTCAGGACCATCAAAATTGTTGAAGAAAAAAATTAAAGATGTAATAAATGCTGGTGCTTTCATTGCCCAGAGAAAATTCCAATAAACTTCAGGGGATTCAGACGAAGGAGATAATGTGTTTCTAACAATACTGTTATGATTTTAGGTGGGATTCATGAAAGATGGCAAAATTAAAGCTGTTGACCTTCTGATCTTCATAAATGGTGGATGTACACCAGATGAATCTGAAATGGTAAGTTCCTTTATAATAGAAGACTCATAGATGAGAACAATATATTTAGTGCTAGTTGAGAGAAAAATAATCTTATACTCAGTGGGGGGATTCAAATAATTTAATAACTGGTTCTCTGTCCTAATGACCAGCAGGGTAGGTGTGGCTGGGTGGACATGTGACTGGGTGGGCATGGCCAACTCAACATCACTCATGTCGAGGGGCACTTCACCCACCATGCCCACCTCTTGTGACCATGGGGATGCTGCAACAGTTGTAAATGTGAAAAACAGTCATAAGTCACTTTGTTCAGTGCCATTGTAACTTTGAATCAGTGGTGGTATTCAGCCGGTTTGCACCAGATCGGGCGAACCAGTAGCAAGAATTTGGTGTGGGTCACCGAACCGGTAATAAGTTCTGGCTGGCCATGCCCCCCACCTGGTCACTCTCCCACCTAATGCTCGCCTGATGCTCGCTCACCCTGCCCACCTGTCTGACATTCGCCTAAGGTATTTCTTTTTTTTCCCTCCCGACAATCAGCTGTAGATAAGATCAGCTGTGTCAGGATTCCCCTTGCTGAGGCCCAGGAAGGCAAACAATGGAGGGAGGAGCTCAGCCTCCCCCTCCATTTTTTGCCTTCCCCAGCCCCCGGGAAAAAACCCCCCCCCCCCCCCCGAGGCTTCTCTGAGTCTAGGAAGCTCCCAAAACGGAGCTTGGAGGGGTGCTGTGTGCCCCTCCCATGCTCTGTTCCTTTTCTTCCAGAGCCCCAGAGGAGCTTTAGGGGAACAAAAATGACACCACCACCCCCGAGGCTCCTCTGTGGCTAGGAAGCTCCCAAAAATGGGTTGGGGGCTGCAAAAAAAGCCACGCCCACCCAGTCACATGACCGTGCCCAACAAGCCACACCCACAAAACTGGTAGTAAAAGTTTTTGAATGCCACCATTGCTTTGAATAGTCACTAAAAGAAGTGTTGTAAGTCAAGTACAAAAATACAAAAAACTTCTTCGCTTGCAAAAAGCTGCCCTAAGTACCAATCATTAAATTAAAAATACCTGCAAGCTGGAGTTACAAATCAGGCAGGGTGCCAGAACATCTTGAGGAATTAAAATAGTTCGAATGCAATGATAACTATCAGCAGCCAACTCTTGCTCATAAAGTGAAACCCTTTAACAGAGAGGTCATTTAAGCTCTCCAGAAAGTGGGTGGGCATATTTGGGCTACAAAATGCCAAACTAAAGTGACAAATTAACAAATTATATAGGGAACCCAGGTTCAAGACTCCCAAGCTTGTCAGGATCACAATAAAATTAGTATATGCCACAGATATCTAAATAAGCTGTTGTCATTTTACTGAGCCTTATCATCATGAGAAAAAGCTAAAACGAATTGGAGGATCCACACCCCTACATCCTTTTTAAAAAAAATCTTACTATCGATGAGCAATTATGTGCCTTGGCCACTCCAAAGCAATGCAAAAGCACCAAAGGTGCTTTTTCAAGAGGCAACTGGACTTTCTGGAAACCAAGGAAGTCCAAATGTCTCTTGAAAAAAGAATCTTTGGGACAGACCTGGATCACTGAAGAATCCCCATAGACAAGAGACTCCTGTGCTCAGTGAAACTCAGTGAACTCCTGTGCTCAGTGGAAAAATAAATAACTGACAAAGCACCCTTTCACACCCAGGAGAAGCAATCCTTAGATCCATTTGCACCACTTAAAGATACTAGCTGGTCTCATTCACCTCACAAGATGTCCTAAGGAAACCATCCAGATTTAAGGAAAGATCATATGCCCACAGAAAAGTAGTAAAAAAATAAGTCCCAAGCTTGCATCCTGCCTCTTGGAAACACAGCCCCAAAGGACAGTGCCAGGAACCATTAAAGCAGAGTAAAAAGCTTAAAATACCCCTTCCCCTTTAAGAAAGTCAAGCCCCTAATAAAGCAAAGCAAAGTATCAGCAAAGAAAAAGAAACTCCAGAGAAGCTTAGGTGACAGTAAATCTGGGCGTACTGCCAAGAACCTTTAGCTGTTACTGTTGAGGTATTCCCCATTAGGAGAATGAGTGCACTCAGGGAAACGTAGTGAGTGTGATGTTGAATAACACTCAACCAGCACACAGATACACTGAATAGTAAAATGTAGGTTTTACTTCCAGTAAATGGGTAAACAAAGTCCAACAAACAGTCCAAATCATATGTGGTTAAAACAGTTAGTATCAGTCCAGGGATAATCCAAAAACAAAGTCCAGTATCATAAACAAAGTTCAGTAAATGGAGTTTGCGAACAGTTTGCAAGACTCACAGCAATCCAAGCAGAACGACGATCAGGCAAAATGGCAAAACAGGAAATGCAAGAAGAGAGAGAGCAAACCAGGTTTCTGGCTCCATCTTATGGCCGTCGGAGGAACCTCAGCTAATCACAATTACAGCACTCTCTTAAAGATACAACAGTATTAAATAACTATCCTGGTTTATATATTGCCAACCCAACTGTTAGGTGACTATCATTCCTAACAGTTACAATGTAATAAGGCTTAACTGAGAAGCAGTTTCTGTAAGCAGAGTAATAACGATTAGGCTAGAAACAACACCAGAATGTTTCCTACCAGCCTTCCTTACAAGATTAGCCTTGTAAAGTGGAAAAAAACAACTTGTTCTCCGAACTGCTCAGAAAGTTAACAAACAGTCCTCCCAAATAAGTGCAAACTGACTGAATCCCACCACTGCTTATACTTGCTGATGATAGAATATTTGAATACTTTATTTATTTGGCCAAGTGTGATCAGAAACACAAGGAATTTGTCTCCTGTGTAGAGGCTTACCCCAGTCCTTTCCTCTGCTGGTTTCAGAAAAAAATGACTTTTTAAAGTGAATGGTGAGAAACTGGAAAACAATTGAGTTTCCACTGCACGCTACAGCCTCTGACAAAAATTTGCAATGTGTAAAAAGCTGGAAAGGTCCAAGAAATTGGAGTAGGGTTGCTTTAGGAAGACTTTTCCTTTTATTGAAAAAGGAAATATACATGGTACTTCTTTTCTCTCCTGTTTTCTCTGACCTGAAGCCAAATTCACAGCATAGTTACCATACATTGCATAGCTAGAGCCATCTCCCAACATTGTACCACTGGAACTCACTCAATCCAAATTCCTGAGAGCAATCATCAAAGTCCAGTGTTGTGTCTCTGATGGAACCATACACATAGAGACCAGAATGGTGAGTAGGAGAACTAGAATAGGCAGACTGTATTAAATTGTTAGCTAAGACTAACACAGTTTTGACCTCTTGATATTAGAGCACAGATTTCAAACTATGGGGAGGCAAACACTGTATAGCAAGCTGTCATATCTGTAGGGCTTTCATCTTATTTACTATCAGTGGATTTCAAACAAGCAACCCTGATGCTCAAGCAGAAGCTGTTGGATCTAGTATGCCAAATTCATGTAGCCTTTGTTTTTTTCTGACTGATAGAGTGAAAATATCATAGCACCAACTGCATATCTCATTGCAGTTGGATATCCTGAACTGGAGAAGGGCTTTCACACACTCTAGTCCAATGCTGTGCCCTCCAGGGAGCAGTGCCAGAAGGTCGATACAATATATATATTGTACTGGTCATGGCAAGTATGTCCCTGTGAATCAAAATAGGTAGGATTTATTCAGCGATTTTGCCAATTTTACAAGGAGCTTAACAACCCAATTACTCTATTTCTGAATAATATTAAAGGATTTACCACCCAGCAATACAAATAGTCCTCACTTAACAACCAGTTACTAAGTCACCATTCAACGTCACAGTGGAGACTTCGAACAAAAAGTTCTAACCCAGTTCAGAGTTCCAATGGCACACACACCCGGAGTCACATGACCGTATTTTGAGCACTTGTGAACTAGCTGACTTTTTTGGCTGGTTGCTATGTTCCATGATCATGTGATAGCAATTTAGTATTTTTTGCCAGATTCCAGAACATAGGAATGAATTGACTTAGTGTTAGTTAGCTTTACAACTACCATAAAATAAAATCACATTGGTCAAGTGAAACCTTGACTTATGACCGTCATGACTTACAACAGAAATTCTGGACTCCGTTAAGGTCAGAAGTTGAGGACTACCTCTTTGCACAGTTCCTGCTACTTAACATCAGTCTCATGACAATAGGTAAGCTAGCCAAGTCCTGCATAGCTGCATACAAGTAGTCCTCATTTTACAACCATTTATTTAGTAAAGTTACAGTAACATTGAAAAAAAGTTATTTACAACCACTCTTTGCAGTTACAAGTGTTGCAGCATCCCCATGGTCACATGATCAAAATTTGGGCACTTGGCAACCAGTATGTATTTACAATAATTGCCACGTCATTTGGTCACATGATTGCCATTTGCAACCTACCCAGTCTGCTTCTGACAAACAAAGCCTTGGAGGAAGACAGATTTGCACAATGACTGCAATTCACTTAACTTCAGTGATTCACTTACCAATTGTGCTAAACAAAGGTTATAAAATTGGCTGCAATTTTTTTAACAACCTCCTCGTTTAGCAATGGAAATTGTGGTCCCAATTGTGGTCATAAGTCAAGGACTACCCATATAAAATAAGGCATATAATAACTAAAAATAGTAGAACCCTCATGGTTATAGTCTGCTAGATATGATTCCTCCTTTTCATTTCAACTTTACGCCCAGGGTTATGTTTGCCTTCTGCTGCTTAATGACCACAATAACAAATGATTTGAATTTGATTATAAACTAGCTGTTTATTTTCCACCTTCATCCACATTTTGTGCTGTTTGTGATTTTTTTTTTCATATACATAATCCTCCTGTGACCTATGTTTTATAGAGAAGGCTCTTCATGTGTAGCAGACCAACTCCACTTTGTGATTTGCCAACGTATTGTATTATTTTGGAGATTTTTCTTTTTGATCATAGTTGCAAGCTGCTGTATTGTCATGACTACAGTTTCTTTCGCATCAAATCATCATGTTTTAATACTTGAAGTTTTTTTTAAAAAAGGAGTGTGGGCTGAATTCTGTAGTCACTACTTCTCATATGATAAAGGATGGCACTGGTATATATTCCCACTGTCTTTCCCCACTGGTGTTAGCTGGTGAATGTCAGGTGATAATCTTTTGGACAATAGAAAAATAAAAGGTAGATAGTGACATCAGGAACCTAAGGATGCTGAAAATTAAAATATGAGGGTAACTCCATAAGATATGACAATTAACAGGTTTATTATCTATTCCAATCCATTAGGTAATAGAGTATGTGGTGCTAAAATCTTTTAATGCATATGATATCCCCAACTTCCGAAGCCAGGGATGGGCCTGCAAGACAAATTTACCATCAAATACTGCATTTCGAGGGTTTGGATTTGCACAATCAGCCTTAAGTGCGGAAATGTGGATAGCAGCTGTGGCTGACTGCCTTGATCTTCCACCTGATAAGGTAAATAAAGGATTGCAAAAAAGGTGTGTTTAGAGTAATTTAGAGTAGGGCCACAATGTTGCTTTGGCATTTGCATATGTAACACAGATATGTCAGTATTCATTTGCAGAATAGAATTGACAGAAAGGGGAGGGATCTGAATCCCTTCTAATAAAAGGTAAAAGATTTATAAAATCTGAAGAGAAACCAGAATATTTCTCCCAGTAAATACTCCTAAGCCTGTTCTCCCAGACAGATTTATTTCCAGTTGGGGAGCTTGGCTGAAAGAGGCAAAACTTCTAAGGCCGTGGATAGACAATACTTCATAGAATCAAAGATTCATGGCTTTGGAAGGGAACACAAAGTTCCTCTGATCTAACCACCTATACCATTCATGAAAGATGGCTGTCCAGCCCCTTCCTAAAAATCTCCAGAGATTTCACAGCTTCCATTGACAGACTGTCCTTTGATATCACCAGGGAAATTGCTCTTATATTTGAACCAAAATCAGACAGCTACAGTAAGACAGAGAGTAAGTCTCTGTGACAGTAAGTCACAGAGATAATTTCCTTGCACCAACAGGTTTATCTCAGTGTATCATTTTATCATTACTATGCCATCTCAAACAGTACCACAGGCTCATGACAAATATCAAATAAGACCAGTGGTAGGATTCAGTTGGTTTGCACTGGTTCAGTTGAACTGGCTGTTAAATTCCCCCCCCTCTCCATCAAACTGGATACTGGGTGCTGTGTTGCAATGGAGAAATGGGCAATGGAGCAGCCGGTGGGAGGGAAGGAGAAAGTCGCTTTCCCTCCTTCTTCCCTCATGCTGGCCACTCTGTAGCCCATTTCTCCATTGTAGCACAATGTCAGGGATCTACTTTGATGGGGGGGGGGGTAATTTAACAACCGGTTCTCCCAGGGTCAGGTTGGCCATCATGGGAGGCTCATCTACATGTGGGGCAGAGCTGGAGGGCGGGGATGGGCCACGCCTCCCAAAACAGCCAATCTGACCCTGGACGAACCAGTTGTTAAATTATTTGAATCCCACCACTGGATAAGACTGAAAATAAACTTCTATCATCATGCTGAATAATTGCATGATTTATTTATTGTTTTAATTATTACAATATTTTATACCATGATTCATCTTTGGGAGATAACTTTCTGTCCCAGTTTAAACATTTATACAAATGTTCATTCTGATGGTGAAAACTGAGTTGCCACAAAGTAGCTTCCATGAGTTACAGTCTGGATTTTCCCAAGAAAACATTCTAGATATCTCTGACATGGGTCTTGAGAAAGGTGCTTCAGTGCATCTAAAGCACAATTAGCTTTTTCTAGTTTATAGCCACTAGGATGTATTATAGAATAATTCACCTTTTTGAGAGCAAACGGATATGAAAGATACTTACTGTGAAAACAAACTGTGATCTTTCTACAAAGAAACATCCTACAATATCTTAAGAGTGACTGTCCTGAAACAATGCTTCTAGAACACTCTCTTGAGTACTAATTTTGGGAATTTTTGAACAGACTAATCATTTTAACTCAGTGTGGGACACTCTCTGCTTTAAGAAGACTTAGGGCAAGTGGTCCCTGCTGCCTCCTTCTTTGGTCATTGGACTTGTATTTATAAAATGATCATTCCAAAGTTGGCCATTAATCTGTTATGAAACTTATTGCTTTCCTATAGCTAGTAGTATCTTTTGGGAGGGGGGAATCCACCAAAGGAATACATAGGAAAACTATATGCATGTTCTATTAGAATATACTGAACAATTTATACAAAGTTGCCGTTTACCACCAGTACTTTTCTTCTCATCTTTACTATGAATATCAAGGGTGGGAGATTTATATTATGTTTAGGAAACATAATAAATCACATTCTTATTGTTGTACAGAACACTCTGAACAGAAATGTTTTTAAACTCAGCATAATGTATCTTGAACACAAACAGAAAATAGTATACCTAGGGAAGCATCTATGGGAAGACAGAGTAGGAAGTAAGGCCAAAGCACTGGGTAGACAGACGTCTGTATTTTCTGCACAATGGCTAGCATGCTTGCCACTTCTATTCATAGCACAATTTTTTGTCCAGTCTTCAATCTTTTGGGAGAGGATTATTAAGAAGATGGTCAGGGTACAACTACTGAGAATCTAGGAAAAAATTATCTGGACTCTTTTTAGGTCAGGGCATAGTACTGAGACATCACTGATAGAGCTTCTGGCAGAGTCGACATGGGAATAATAATGAGGTTGGGGGATGAAGGGAGAGAAGTCAAGTTCAAAGCTCCTGATTTGTGGGGTGCCATAGAGTTTGACATTGTCACTGCTCTTGTTTAATATCTACAGTGGGAGATGTTTAGGGTAGGAATCACCAGTATGGTGACTATATTCAACTGTACAGCTGGACCCTGGCCAACCAAGCAATTCTGTCAAGGTTTTCTCCTACCCCTGGAAACAGTGGTTGGGAAGGACAGACTCAAGCTGAGCACTAGCAAGACTGGCTGTGGCTCTTTGACTACCCACTTCCAGGAAACGTCCCCTCTGGTCCTGAATGGGGTTGCACTAACCCATTTAGAACTGAGACATAGAATCATAGAATAACAGAGTTGGAAGGGACCTTAGAGGTCATCTAGTCCAACCCCCTGCTCGAGCAGGACAGTCTATTCCAAATATTAGCTTCTGCCTAGGATCGAACTCACTGCCTCCCAATTGTGAGGCCAGAGCTCCACCTCTAGGCCACCGGAGCTGCACATAATCAGATGGTTTTCCTGGACTCTCATTTCCTGCTCAAAGAACAGATGGCTGTTGTGGACTCAACCTTTGGACTGCAGTGATTTTTTTTAGCATACTAAAGGCATGGTAATTGTTATTAATGCGGGATATATAAATGCACATACCAAGTTTTATATGCTTTGTTAAACATATGGAGCAATTAAAAGTATTTTCTGTGTCTCTACTGAAGGTCAGGGAGATGAATATATATAAAACGATATCTGAAACCCCCTACAAAGAAAAGGTGGATGCCAGAAATCTGCTAGCATGTTGGAAAGAATGCTTGAAGAAGTCTGATTACTACATCCGAAAAGAAGCTGCTGAGGAATTCAATAAACAAAATTACTGGAAGAAGAAAGGAATTGCAATCATCCCCATGTTGTTTTCAGTTGGATATAATGTCACATTCTACCACCAGGCAAGATGTTCACTTTTCAGAATGTGATCCTCCCAAAAAAGTAAAATAATAACTGCAAGAGAACAGCAGTTTTGAAGGGATGAGTACATTTCCTTTGGGAAAATGCCACAGTGAGAAACAATTCTCTTTTCTCCAGACTTCCAGGGCACAGCTCTTTCTTCTGCTATATATATTTATATATTCTGCATATTTATATGTAACAAGCTTCTTATGATATGTTGTTTAGGAAGAATATTGCCCTCATTATAAGTTGTAATAAGGATTACTTTTCAATATTTAGAAATTTTAATTATTTGAGAAGTCTTGAATAATCGGTCGGTCCCATGTCATATTGAAAGGTAAACCATTTTATAAATCCTTTTGGTGACTTGAAGGGCATTTTCCCCCAGATTCCAGCTTCAACCTTCATCCTCTTGGTGGGCACTTTTTCTGAGGCTGGAATAAATTTAAATTGTCATTAAACAAACAGTCGTAAGTTGAAGACTACCTATATTGTAATTTTGAACAATGTCATAACATTAAGTAGACTAATAGTAGTAAACTGATCTACTTGAGATGCAAATCAACAAATCATAAGATGTTTGTTACTTCACTATTCAAATAAAGCAAAGCCCCCAGAGGCTTTCCAGCCCATCACTTATCACGAAGTCCAGTCTGTATCTCATCATTTTAGAGAATTCTTTCTTTAATCTTTGTTATTGTTAGCCATCTTAAGAGTCAACCATGATTCCTGTTGACTACATGGACAGATCTATGCAGCTTTCTTGGCAACATTTTGGAAATGGTTTGCTAGCACCTTCTTTCTACCTAGGGTTGAGAGAGCGAGAGCGACCCAGGTGATTCAAGGGAGAACTCATAGTTTCCAACTTCTAGTCCAAACAGACTTGTAACATGTATAATACTACAATATTATGCTTTGATTTTATGACTCATTTTATCCTTTTTTTAAAAAAAAAATGTTATATACTACCGGTAGATAAAGCATACTTTGTTTCTAGGGCAATTCTCTATATGTTACTTCTGTATAACAAGATTTAAAAGATTAAAACTAACATTTGTTAAATAAGTAAATAAATACATCTCTATTTTTTGTAGGCTGCTGCTCTGGTTCATATTTATACAGATGGATCAGTGCTACTGTCCCATGGAGGATGTGAACTAGGACAAGGAATTAATACCAAGATGTTACAGGTAATTAAGATATTTTAAAAATCTAATATTCCTAACTTGCACAAAGAAATCTTTCCAAATTGAGTGCCCTTTCCATGTGTTGAATTACAACCCCCATCATTTCTCTCCAGCATGACCAACTCATCTGACAGGCAGCAGCTGGGGAGGGCTACTATAGAATGCATATAGGTTACAATATATTTATTGTCCAAAAATAAATATGAATGAATGTTCCATTGTTTGTTTATCAAATTACCTCACATTTCCACCCCACCTACCCCGCATACCAATGCTGTTTGTTATGGCACAGATATAAATTCTTATTTTGACACAGACACAGAACAAAAAAATATATATGAAAAAATGGATGAAAATTTTCAAAGAAACAATCGGAACAATGGGAAAAATTATGGATCAAATCCATAAAGCTTATCCCGAATACAACTCCAAAGAAAATTGGAAACAAAAAGTTTTCTAGATGGCACACAACTCTATCAATAATTTCCAAGATTTAGCGACCATTCAAAGTTATAATGAACCTCCCTGTGGATATTTATGAACCAATTCTGAAGTTCAGGTGGTCACCCACACACCCCCAATAGTAATCTGACTGTATTGGGCACTTAGTACCAGCCCATATTTATGACTGTTTGCAGCATTTTGCAATCACGTGACCACATTTTACAAAGGTTTTGCCAAACACTGACATTTACTTCTGGTTTTAGCAAAACCAGCCCATGGCAAACCATTCATTCACTTAACCATGGAGTATACTTAATGACCATTGCAAAATAATGCCTTAAAATCAGGTTGGTCATATGGGTGACCATTTTATGACTGTCACAACTTACAGCCACAATGGATAGGCTCCACTGTGGTTGTATGTTAAGGATTACCTGTACTGGAAAGAGAAGGGAGGGAGGGAAGGAGAGAGAGAGATGTATGTATGTATGTATGTAGTACAATGCAGAAAATTTGTATATTTGAAATGAAATCATATTTTTCTTACGGAACGTACAGAAAACATTAACAAGAAATATCATAATTTAGTGAGATATACATGCTTATAGCAGTGAGAATAAATTTTGCACAACACCAGAAGAAAGATTCAGTTCTGACAATATCTGATTGGGAATTTAACCTTGGAGAATATGCAACAATGGCAAAATTAACAGCACATATTCACAATAGAAGATTAAGTACATTTAAGCAAGGATGGTTCCCATACACAGAATATATTATGCAGCTTGGCAAATGTCAATGGCTATAGTTTGACTTCTAAGGGGATCTAAATGTTTATAAACACTGCAAAATAGTAGAGGCACAAAAAGGGAAATTAGAAATGAAATAGCCTTATTTCCTTTACCTTTCTAAAAATATTGTTCCTGTTTATTTTGTTTTGTCTTTTTCCCCTTTAACATACACAATCCATAAGTAACAATATTGACAGTAACAGTATTAAATATCCAGCTTAAGACAGAAACCTTTATTGTACAATAAATTTGATGTTATTTGCAATTGCTTTTAATGCTATATTTACTATGGATGTAAAATGTAAAGAACCTCTCAACATCCATATTTCAAACTATAGTTAACACTATGATTTTTCTTTTCCTCTAACTTTAAACATTTAGGTTCTCTAAACATTAGAGTTTCAGTAATCTCTAGTCATTACTGTATAGATGTTGTACTGAAATAATGTAAAGTATTATAGGTAGTCCCCAGGTTACGACTGTTTGTTTAGTGACCATTCAAAGTTACAAAGGTGCTGAATGAGGGGAATTTATGACCAGTGCTCTAAGTTGAAAACGTTGCAGTATCCTTGGTTGCATGATTACAAGTTGGAAGCTTTGCAATTGGCTCAAAATTACAATGGTTGTGCTATCCCATGGTTGCATGATCAGCATTTGTGGCCTTCCCTGCCAGTTTCCCACAACCAAAATCAATGTGAAAGCTGACAGGAGATCACAAGCTGCTCTTATAAGTCACTTTTTTTTCTGCCTCCTATTTGCCAAAGAATACCCTATGCAGGTCATAGGATATTGTACATATCCATGGCACCCACCAGGCCAGACTCCTTAATGCATGTCCACAGCATCTCTTTGCACTCTGTGGCAGGATGGCACAAGTTGTCCCTGCAAGTTGCTTTTGGTCCTGATCCTTTTTTCCAGAGGATCCTGCATGGGGATCTCATACTTCTTAGGACTCGCCTGCCAACACTCCATAGCATCTCCCTCCGGCATCTGTTTGCACTCTGTGGCACTCTCCAAACCACCTGCACTCTGTAACTTCTGTCCATGGCAACGGCCTGCTCGAACTCCATGGCATCCACCCACTCATACTCCTTAGCACCCACCTGTAGCTCTTCCCTGCCAGCTTGCTTGCCTGGTATTTGGTTTTGAGCACCTCTTCCCATGTCACAGTCACATGGGGATTCTCATTTAACAACCCGCAGGGTTCACCACTAATTGATGGCACTGTGGACTGCCAAGATTGTCATTGCTAAACAATGAGTTCACATGAGGTCACACACTTTATGATCACATGTTTAACAACTGAAATTCCAGTCCCAACTGCTGTCGTGACCTGTACTTATGTCTTATAATAATACATTATTTAAACAAAACTTTCCCTGTAATAGTAATTGTAATTTCATTTTGGATTGTAACTCCAGGGAGATTACAAATGCTAATATTTTTTTCTTTTTTAAAACCACAAGGTGGCTAGTCATGAATTAAAGATACCGCTATCTTACATACACCAGTATGAAAGAACGACAGTCACAATACCAAATGCAATTGTTACAGCGGGATCAATCGGCGCAGATGTCAATGGGAAAGCAGTCCAGGTTAGATGCATAATTGGTGGTGTTCTTTTCAATTATTTTGAAATGTGATGGAACTTAATCCTTCTGATATTAAAATATACCTTTTTGTGAATAGGAAACTTCCTTTTTTTCCAGCTGTTGCTAGATATGAAAGATGGGGAGAAGCTCAACGATAGAGCTTCTGCTGTTTAAAAGATCAAACCATTACCGGTAGTGAAAGGAAAGACCTATGCCTCTGGAGGCTTCTTGCTGTGAGAGTAGGCAGTGCTGAACTAGATGGGAAAATGTTCCAACCTGATATAGGACATTTGTCTTAAAAGAAATAGTTTAATGTCCCATTAAATTGTTTATATCTTTCACTTTAAAAGATAGGGCACTGCCAGAAGTTGCCATCTTTTTCTAACAAAGATCCTTCTGTTTTCACAGCTATATTACAGTCATAGTGGAAGTTTCTTCTGCCTTTATACAGAAACTGAGTTCACGCATCATCCTGAAGCATATGTGATTTATTTGGTTTTGACACTTGTGAACTTAGGCAGCGTCTGTGGGGGAATAGGGCGAGGAGTGTTTATTTATTAGATTTACATTCTGTCTACTTCAAGAGCTCTATATGGATGCATAATGGCCCACCCTTTTATTTTTTTCTCGCAGTAACAATGCTCTATGAAGTGGGTTGGGCTGAAAGTGTTTGGTCTAATATTACCCAGTTTCCATGGCTGAGGATGAGCTAGAACCTTTTCTCCTTAGTGCTAATTCAAAATTTCACCAACCAGAGTTTCAAATACAAAAAATAATTGTGATTTTATAGATCATACGAAATATGATTTACTGCAACATATGAACTTACTCAATATCTTTCCATGCTTCATTTGCCTGTGTTTAGTCAATTGGTGTACAGTAGACCACAAATTTATGCTTTAATATCTCAATAAAAGGAACAGGTATTATCTAATCAAATATTTAAGTTGCTAGAGCATTATTAACAAACAAAACAGATCAGTTTTTTTTTAAATAGAGCACCTTTTTCCTTTACAAAGAGATTGAGCTCTAATGCCTGCAATATCCAAACAAGTCTGGGCTAAAACTTGCAAAAAGCTCACAGAAATTTTTGGGAATTAAAGAATCTGCTTGGGGATCTGCTTGGGGAAGCTTTAGTAGACAATACTGGGCCAGAGAAATTCATTTTGACTTCATGTAAAATAGCATCTTCATTCCACTGCTCTCTGTTATTGTGTAGTTGCAGAACAGTAATTGAAGTTCAGTTATGTTTGCTTTCAAAAATAATTAAACGGCTTTATTATTCTTTTCCTCATAACAAGTGCTCACGTTTTCTGTTGTGATATGCAAAGCAGAGTATTGTATTCTTTTGTGCTGCATTTTGGCATGTGAGATTCTGTGATGGTTGAAGAATTTTGAACAAAATTGTAGTTTCTGTTAAGAAAAAGTCCTTCGATTATTCATGTCATGAAGGTTAACATTAAAAATGTCCAATTCTTGCAGAAAATGCAATATTTAAATGTGTCTTTTAAAAATAAAATTTGGATAACATCTTAACAATAAATGTATTCTTTGGGACTAATTTTTCCTGTTTTCTTTGGTATCATCTTCTACAGAATGCGTGTCAAATTCTAAGGAAGCGCCTTGAGCCAATCATTAAAAAAAATCCTAAAGGAAAGTGGGAAGACTGGGTAGGTATCATTTACATTTTAAAAACAGAATAATTTTAATCCTTTTAGTAGCACGTTTTCAGGAGAATAGTTTTTGACACATTAACCATAAATATAGGAACAGCACAGAAGTTAAAGTGAACACCCTATCAAAATAGTCAGCAATTCTAAATTTATCTGACATGGAGCATTGTTGATATATGGCACTTCTTGATATCTACTGAGCTTTGGATTATTTAAGTTATCTAATTTCAGCAATGAATTCATTCTAGTGACATCTAATCTTTACTGATGCTCTGTGCTAGGGACTCTCTTAGGAGCCTAAGAATAGAATAATCAACTCAGTATCGTTTGGAGATAATCCTTTCCCTTTTAAATGAACATTTTGGATAATATTTTTTTTAAAAAAAGAGTAAGAAGCTATAAGTAAATTCAAGAACATTGGAAGTGGAAAGTGTGTAGAGCACTCATAAAATTAATGTTTGAGGTAAGGTGGCTATTTCATGCAAATTTGTCTAGAAGCATCTTCTATACACAGTCTTTAAAATTCCATGATGTGGATCCAGGGAAGTTGTTTAATGTCAGCAAAGATACATTTCTGGGGAGGTAATCCTAGATGTATAAGCGGAGAACAAATTCAACCTAACTTTTTTCTCACCTCTCTTATGCAAAGGAGAAAGGCTGACCTTTAATATCCCCAATTTGGTTATTTTATGCACAAATACATTTTTGTCAGTATTACAAATATTGCCACTTAACAATTTACCATTTTCAGATTAAAGCTGCCCACGAGGAAAGCATCAGCCTCTCTGCTACTGGCTTCTTCAAGTAAGCAATTTGTTCTGAATTCCTTTTTTTAAAAAATAGAGTTTAATTTGGGTTTTCACAAAACATACAAATACAAATAAAATATCCTTTTTTTTAGAACAGCATGCTCCCGGGTTATCACTTCTCCATACAGACATAAACTCAATTACATATTCATCTTATTCTAATTCTGTATTCTAATCCATATCTTATAACTATTTTCACAGTTTTCTCAATAGTTTTTCCCTTTCCTTGCTTTCTATAACCTTATTTTTAATCTCATTCCTTTCTAAGTTCAATTACATATATTTTTCTAATTTCAGTATCTTTCTAATCAATATTTTTATACTTTTGTCTATCCTGTTTACAATTTCATAATTTCTTTTCTCATAAAACAAATTTTCCCCTGTAATTACTAGACTGGAGTGTAACACCTTTGTATCTTTTAATTATGATCCATTCAAATCTTGTTTAAAGTTTAAATTATGCCTTTACAGTTATAACATTCATTTTCTAACCTCTATTTTATAACACATAACTATTATCAACCGAATTCTGCTTGGTACATTCCATTAAAGATACACACTAAGTTCTTGAAAAAAAGTGTGTGTGTATGTGTGTATATATATATATATATATATATATATATATATATATATATATATAT